CAGGATTGAGGATCGGGTGAGTATGTCGTCTTTATTTGGTCCCCTAGAGATAAATGAGCATTTAAAGTGACACTAAACTTGTGAATTATATCTTAAAATGCATTTAGGTACCCTAACTATTAACAGAAATGTATCTTATTTGTGTATCACTTGGCTGTAGGTCCTCAAATCATCTCTGAATTGGTGCTGACACTGTCCTTCCTTCTGGAGGGGGGCTACTTTTGTTCCTCATGGTCCCGATGTGTGTTGTAAAGTATCCATCCGCCCAAGATCACTCCTGTGATGGACTACAATCTCACGTTTAGTTTACTAATTTGTATTGAGATTGTAGTCCATCACGGGAGCAAGCTTGGGTGGTGGCTACTTTACGACACACATACAGAAACCATGGGGAACAAAACTAGCTCCTCTCCAGAAGTAAGGACAGTGTCAGCACCAATTCAGAGATGATTTGAGGACCTACAGCCGAGTGATACACAAATAAGATACATTTTTGTTAATAGTTACGATACTTGAATGCTTATTTAAATTTTAACTCCTGAGTTTAGTGTCACTTTATTTTAAAGAGGAACTTCAGGATTTTAAAAGTTGTGGTGGGGCTACTCCTTCACTGCAACGGTTCACTGCACATTTTTCTTTAGGGGACAGAATAAAGAAGAAACACTTATCCGGGGCAGAATTGGGGGAATGTTTCTTCTCTGTTATCTTCCCTAGAGAAAAACAAGGAGTTAACCCTTGCAGTGCGGTGGTAGCCCCACTCCAAGGGTTAACTTTTAAAAGTCCTGGAGTTTCTCTTTTAAAAAATTGCATTTTATATCAGCTATGTCCCATGAGATTTGGAAATGACAGTCTCTTGGCAAAAAATTAAGATCCTTATCCTTGTGTAAAGCGTTGTGTTTTTCACAAGTTGGATTGATATAGACTTTACATCCACACATCCCAATAGGGTAACTATTTCTATGTATGCTAATAGGCATTACCTGGAATTCATTAAGAGTGTTGTAGATGCTCATTAGAAATCTGTCTCTCTTCCTATGAAACAAATAGCTCAACTTGCGACAGGTTCATGTAACTGTCAGTTCGGTGTACAGTATATGAATATATTGGAAAAAAAGTACTCTTGCAGTGGGGCTGCCCCCGAACTGCTAGGGTTAACTATTTTTCTTTTGTCTAGGGGACCTGAGTAAAGTACTTCTACTTACCTGATCCCTGCTTTGCCTGGCTGTAAGACTGGCACCTGCAGCCTCTTCCCTCCTGCGATCCCTCTAGAGACCCACTGATATCATCACATCTAATGCAGGGCTACTAGCCCCCCTTTATACGTGAGGATGCAGAGGAACAGTTTACGAGTTAAAATGGACAGGAGAGTTGATCGCCAACTGCAGGGATTACGGGAATCAGTTAGGTCCTTTTCACCCCTAGACAAAAACAAGCAGTTAACCCTTGCAGTGCGGGGGTAGCCCCACACTGCAATGGTAGTTTTTTTTTTTTTTTTTACCAAGGCTGTAAAAATGTTTATGGGTTAAGAGTGTCATACAGTATATAGCCAACATATTTTGAGGGATAAAACCTACCCTTTCTTAAGGGCTTACACTTGAGGATTGTTCCTCTATCGGGATGGAATATACTAGAAAGCATTGTTTAAAGTCACATTAAAGTCAAACTTTTTTTGCCCCTTCCCAAACCTGCTGTAGGGACTTTCCTGGAATGATGCCTCTTGATTCGATCATCTTCTTCTTTACTGTCCTTTTCAGATGTCCCTCCAGCGCTGGTGCGGGTCTCTGATCCAGTGCTGACTCCTCTGTCCTCCTCTTCTCTGATTTCCCACAGAGTCTGTGCGGGTGCACGCTGCTCCATAGACTTACCTTGTGTCTCTCCTTGTCTCCCGGCCAAACATCTGAAGTGCGCATGCGCCCGCCCCAAGATTCTTTGCCGCCGCACGAGACTCTTCAGATGTTCGGACAATGGCACGCAGCGAAAACACAGGTAAGTTTAAACCGTTTTTAAAAGGTTTTTTTTCTATTTTTGCATATATATACTGCTTGCTAGCAGTAGATATATGCAAAAACTGCTGAGGGTTTAATAATCCTTTAAGGCTTAATTGGGCTAAAATATCAGTGCGTGCTTTGGTAACATGAGCGTTGAAACAGATGCAGCCGGCCACTCATGTTGCCAAAGGACGCGCTGACATTTTAGCCCAATTAAGCCTTAGCTCCCATTCACACTTGAACATGAGTGTTTTTAGATCATTTAGAAGTTTTTTTGTGATAGAGACGATACGCGATCTGACAATCATTACTTGCCTGTTTGGCTGGCAGTAGTAAAAAAAGTTGTTTACAGTAGTGCGGAGCCTGGCAAAGGACCACTGTGTCCTCTGCAATGGGCTCTGGGTTCCATCTTGCGAGAACTTGGGTCTAATGTTAACACTGAGTTCTCTCCAGTCTTGGGTGGCCATCTTTTTTTTTTTTTTTTAAATCAGATAGTTTTTATTGGTTTTTCCATTTTTTAACAACAAACATGGACACCTGCAGTAAATTGTACATGACCAGCATAAATGTACTCAATCATGGCAATACAAAATCATATACAGAGAATCCAGTAGCAAGTATCCAAGGCAGGGATGTCAAACAAAAACACACACATATAAAAAAGGGGGGAAGGGAAAAGCAAAAACAAACAAAAAAATTTTTTTGGACATGTCAGCCGCGGACAGCCTCTAGATCAGTACCGAAGTGAGCAGGCTGGTAACGAAGAGGTCCGGGGTCGGTTCGGGTGCAGGTAAGTGCTCTGTAACCGCTATCCCCAGGATACTAAGCAGGATGTGAAGCTGGAGCTCTTCGTTATGCGACCAGTCACATGCAGCCGCCGGCCACGCCCCCTGGGTGGCCATCTTTGATGTCTCTTATTGAGGGAGGAGATGCCATTTAAAGCACATTTTGACTTTATACATGTAGAGAAGTCTGTGCTTCTAATAAATTATGTTAAATGCTTCCTGGCAAAAAGGAACAGATTAGGGATTCACATGGACATCCCTGGTAGAGGGCCGGTGGAGAGGACCCCAGTAGTCATCCCGGCATTCTGGTACAGCCCAAGTACAATGCACAATGACTGGCTAAGACAGCACCCTTCTTGAGAAAGAAACCGCTGATAACATCATACACGAGTATCTGCTTAAGGAAGCACACCTTGAGCAACTTCCTGTATGTAAACCCTGCATTCTTGCATGACATTAGAGATTGTTAATACAAGTGCCTTGTTTTGCGAAGGCAAATCTGGAGAAGAATTCACATTTGTTGTAACTGCTTATACCTCTTGGATGGATGAAAAAAAATGCTTAAAAGAAGAAAGTGTGTGCGTGTCCCCTTTAATCCCCTACCACATAGTGGTACCTGCCATATGGGTGCTTTGATTTTAGCAACACAATCACTGTAGGATGTCCATCCATATTATAATGTAAA